ATATATATATATATATATATATATTTCCCATTCTTCAGAGTTTTCTTAAAGTTAATCATAACATTTGTGAACAGTTCCAGTTTTATTTCTTCCTTCCCAATCTATTTGCTTACTTTTTTTGCATTAGTGTACTAGCTGGAATCCAGTCATTTTCTTACTCTGCAGTATGATATTATCAGTGGGTCTTTAATAGTTTTCTATTATTTTACCTGAATATTTCAGTCTTCTTCCAACCTCGTTTTGTAGATTGTGTGAAAATGGAACACATTACAACTTGCTTATTTCAGTTTTTATCTACATCTACTGTAAATAATATTTGCCTGACTCAGCTTCTAGTGCCAAAACGAAAAAACATGTTTTTATACTAGGATTTTAATTTTTTTCTTAAAACATTTCTTATTAAAACTGAACATATTCATAACATTTTTCAGTTCTTCATAGTTTGAAGATCTTCTTTACTTGGTCATTTTACTTATTAACTGTTGTACACAGGGAGCAAGTATCAGTGTGCATCGTGACTTCACGATTTTTGTCCCAGAACTAACAGAGCATTCTGAATGTCCAGAAGGAATTTCAGCCTTTGCAAAAAGTTCAAGAACAGCCTAAGAACTTGCAGGTGACTGTGAAGGCTGGATTTTTCCTGCTTCAAATTTTTCCTTGAATTTTAAGTAGTCTCTTCTTTTATCAAAATATTTTATCTGTTGAAAAAAAAGTTTGACATTAGGGCATGTTTTACAGTTTATAGGAGCAAAAGCACAGATTTAAATGTAACTAATTATTCAATACAAACTGTATAGAAATAGAGCAGTGATTTATATTCTAGAACCATTATGTGTCAAGGACCTCGTGAATGACCCTCTAAGAAGCCTGCAGCCTCGTGAGTCTTGGCCCTTTCTGAGTGACATCCTGTTGGTTATTTAACCCAAGAACCTTCTCAGGAAATGAATCTGTGTGCACTTCAGAGCTTCCCAGAAGCTGAGTCCACCAAGCTCTTACATGGTTCAGAGTCTTCAAATTAAGACACTAAGCTTTTGCCATAAGTTCAACACACCTTGTAATTTACTGGCTACACCATTTTTAATGTCTGTCTTATCCAGAAACACATTCAAGGAGACAGACACATGCTTAAAAACTATGAACCATTATGATATGAATAGGTAAATTGATGGTAAACACCAAGTTGTTTGGGGTGGGGGTTGAAGCAGAGTTCAGACTGCTAGTTCAGACTGGACTTGAACTCACTATGTAACCCAGGCTGGTCTCAAACTCATGGTGATCCTCCTGCCTCAGCCTCCTGCCTCAGTGCTGGGATTACAGATATGTGTCACCATGCCCAGCAACTTCAGTATTTTAAAGACGATTTTATTTATATCTTCTCATTCCATAGAAACTTAAAGAATCTTAAACTAACAACTTGATATGGTAAAATCCTAAAAGTAAATGCACACATGCCAGCTACGAAACTACTGTAGCATCTGTGTCTGACCTGCTCTGCATTCTAGGAAAAGGCAAAACGTGCATTTGCATTGGTACAGTAGAAAATAGTAGTTCTTTTGTTAAAAGTCTTTCTTAGAGTTTAACATCTCAGTGGGGCTTGTAGGTAAAAGTAAGCATAGGCTGAGAATGTGGAAGTCTGCCCTGCCCTGCATCTAGGTGGATAACACCAAAAAAGTAGATGAAAAGTCAGCATCTCTCCAAAGGCAGCAACAAGTCCCAGTGGACTCCTTCATGGAGTGGTCACACAGCTTTCTTATTCACGGAGAAACCCTATTTTCTAAATAACAGTTCATCAGAAGTTGGCTCTTTGAGACTCATCAGTAAGATCCTCTTTTACCTAGGGGCTCTTCTAGGGCACCTTCACAGAGAAGCAGGCTCAATTCCCATACAGGCGCAAGATCTGAATTACGGATTTTTGAACGTGACATTTGAACCTTAACTTTGTCAAACATAAAATTCTGGGCCCACTTCTCAGTCCAGAGCTGGTAAGGACCTATTTATACACAGCTCTGCTTTGCTCTGCACCGGTCAAAACACTGCTCCAGCTTGGAAGGCTGAGGCAGGATGATTGTTAAGTCTGAGCCCAGCCTGGATAACTTAGCGAAACAATAAAGAAAAAGAGGAGGCAAGGCTTCAGGCAGATAACAGTTGAGAACACAGGCTAACAAGAGCGAAGTACTGATACTGAAGCGTCCAGACTGATGAGCTACGTGAACTAAGTCATGGACCTCTAAGAAGAGTTCTGCAGAACACGACAGCTGTGGCTTGGAAAGGTGCTACCGTTGTCACAGGCTGCAGAAGTCAAATGGAGCATTGTATCGCACTCTGTCCTTTGTTGAAGTGCCCCAGATGTTGTAGGTCACTGTTATTTTTCCCAACAATACTCTGGTCGTAACTCCAGGATGATTTCAATCTCCACCTGTTGCTTCTCCCCGTAGGTGGCCTCTCGGTTCCCTGACCTCTTCCATGACCTTGTCCCAGCCTAGGCTAAAATGAACGCGAAGCACTTTCACAGTGAACAACAGCACACCAGGCCCACCTGACGTGACTTACCCATTGCTGAGGACAGCTGGACTCGAAGGACCTCCTCAGCTGCTGGCAGCGGGATGCGTTCCCGGCGTTCTCGTCCAAGCACTGCCAGTAGTCGTCGCGGGCTCCCCAGCAGACCTGCCTCTCCTTCATGGAGGGGGCTGCCATTTCTGCTGGGAGCCAGCTGTGGGACAAAGCGAATCTGACCTTAAAATGACCCTGCCAAGCGAGCAAAAGAAGGCTGTTATTCCCTCCTTTTCTTAAACCACGCTTGGGGCGCGCCTTGGAGAGCTGCTCCAGCTCCCTACGCCAGCGCTGCCTCGGCGTTCCTGGCCCTCCCACTTCCGACCAGTCCCACGCGCGCGGACCTGAGAGTCCCTCGCGGCTTCCCGAGGGTCCTGCGGCCCTCAAATTCGTGGGAGAGGGCTTGGGGCTGGGTCCCGACACCGCAAGTCCCCTCCCCGGCTGGGGTCACCGGCCACACTAGGGCATTCACTCTGCGAAACAGCCAGTGGCCCGTGGATTGACCCTTCCGGGTTACCGTTGACGGAGGCGGAACTTCCTGCTCGCCCTACTACCTGTCCGGGTGATTTCCGGTCTGTTGTGGGTGGCGAGCTGGTACTAACTCTCAGTAATCGTAGTCTTGTTGGCTTCTGGATATCTCTTTGAGCATAACTTCGTAATTGTGGCGGGCCACGACCTTTCAGAAAGGCTTAGTGCAAGAGCCGGGCGTGGTGTCACACGTCTGTAATCCCAGCATTTGAGAGACGCAGCAGAGGTTTACCACGAATTGGATTCCTCCCTACCTAGTGGGTTCAAGGCCAGCCAGAACTACGTAATGAGACCCTGTCTCAAAAAACAAAACAACAAAAGGAATGCATAATACTTGAGCGGTGCGGAAAGACGGTGTAGGGCTCTGTGTGTGTGTGGGGGTGGGTGGGGGGAGAACCCAGCTGAGAGTTATAGAGCCGAGGGAACGCTTAGCTGCCTGGGGAAAGGAGGACTCGGGATGCCCTGGGGCATGGGCTAGAAAGTGACAAATTGAGGACGAGTAAGTTAGGGCAGCGGGAAAAAATAAAGCGATGCTTTAGTCTCAAGATGGCGTTTTCATTCCCTGGACGTTAAGGTATTTTAAGGAATGAAAACAGCTACTTTTTTTTTTTTTTTTTTGGTACTGTGTATGTTTGCAATACATGAAATATACTTTCGTTCCCGAGGATTAGTACATACGTGTTACATCTTAATCGTTTTCGATACCTTTCCCCATCCTCCAAGACGTCTGCCTTTCTTTTACTCTATAATTGGGTTTCTCATATAAGAGAAACCATGCAGTTATTTAATTTTTGGTGATTGACTTCACTTAACGTGATGATCTCAAGATCCATTCATTTTCTTGCACATGACTCGAATTCAGCCTTTATGGCTAAATAAAGTTTCATCGTGAATATATACGACATTTTCTTTATGCTTCAAACATTTCGAGGATGTTGCTTTTAATATATGAGTTTATAATCTCAGCAGGATCTTTAAGAAGCGTGTTTTGGCTAAAGATCAGTCTTAAGAGGTTCCATCTGCTCCACCAGCTGGTCTTGTTGAAATTCTCTTTGCTGATATAACTCAGGCACAGTTTACAGCTCCGCACTCGGTGCTGATGTTTGATCCTATATATTAAACTTGGGCAGATTTTCACGATGGTCGTGTGAAGCTCAGCACCACCAGACATTTTCTACAATATGGGATGTAGATCCCAACATTTGATAGACTCTGTCTAGCTTTAGCTTTACCAGAGCCAGCACTTAAATTACCCTATATTTATCAAGGTCAGTTTATGTAAAGATCAGTATCATTTAAGTATAACTGATGGAATATAAAAGGGATGAAAATAATCTTAGGTGACTTCTCAGATGAAAAACGAAGTATATTTTAAGTTTTAAATGTATAGGTATACAATCATGTGCCCTTTAACCATGTTTTCATCAGTGACTGCATATATAACTGGTTCCATATATAACTGGTTGCCATGGTGGTGTTAAGTGTTCCTATGATGGAGAAAGTTCTCACGATGAAGTCACCTAATGAAGCATGTCTCAGAATGTATCCCTATGGCTAAGCAACAAAGTGATGCATGGTAGTATGTGAAACAAAGTTGACAGAATTAAGAGAAAAAATACTTGGTCGTATGGGGTGATTTTTTTTTTTTTTTTAATTACCAGGGATCAAACTCGGGACCTTGCACTTGTGACGCAGGCGGCAGAACTACTGAGCTAATCCCCGGCCCTATATGGGGTGATTTTAATGGCTCTTTCTTAGCAAAAGAAAAATCAAGGATATAGAAAACTTAAGTGACATGATTTACAAACAACATATTGAGGATTTTCAGAAAAACAAAACCAGAATCAATACAGTGATCTTCAAGTTACAACCAGCCTAATATGAACAAGTTGGGTCCTGACTGGAATTTTAGATTTAGCTTACAAAGACTTCAGTTATGACCGTACAGGAGAGAGACTTTGAAGGCTGTATAGAGGAGCCTGAGCCTTCAGGTGACCAACTTGAGTTACAACCAGCTCTTGTGAATGAATTGAGTTCGTAAGTTAAGGCTCCACTGTAAACATTGTATAAAGCATGTCACCATGGCATGCTTTAAAGTCACATTGCCAAATTGACCATATACTTGGCTATAAGGCAGCAATCAGACTCAGGATTGAAATCTTTAAGCGCATACAGTAGACCCTCCAGTTATGACTAGTCTGATGCGTGAACAACTTGGGTTAATGAGGTTAATGGAAGATTCATCTGCCTCTTGTTATCTGTAGCATGTACCCATGTAAACATCCAAATCCCAGCTGTACTGACTTACGACCTGTTTGAGTAACAGTCTATGTGAACCAATCAAGTTCATAAGTCAAGGGTCCACTATATATTTTTACTATAATGCAGTTATGGTAGAGGTCAGTAACTATAAAAACAAGTCGGTATAAGTCATTGACAAAACGTCCGTGTTAATGAGAAAATATTTTGAACTGAACAATTAAATACAGTAGTAACACTTGTGGAATGAAGCGAATGTAATAAGAAAAAAGCCTGAAATTTCTTGAGCTTAACAGTCATCTAAATTGAAGAAGTTAGAAAAGAACAGCAAAATGACAAAGTAGAAGCCCAGAAATAACACGAAGAGCAGAAGTTAATGGGATGAGAAAAGTAGTGGTGCACAGAGCCAATTGGTACCACCTGGGGAGTGCCAGCTCTACCACCTCTTTCCACCTGTGTGATCAGTTACATCAGTTCTGTAGCTTGAAATTGCCATGACGGCAACATTCATACTACAGAAATCAGCAAACAAGCCAGACTTTTGTTTTATGTTTGTTATCAGTTCACTGGCACACCCCTGCGTTTAAGAGATTTTTAAGAAAGTGCATTTCTTAGAAAAAAAATTGATTTACAAATGTATAAGAGTTTGAGCAATAAAGGAGAGATCTTAGTAATTTATTATCAGTGAACTATACATTTATAGACATGAAGGCTGGAGGATCTTACAGACAAATACACATGACATTTAGATTAATGTACTAATTTCAAGAAAAGTGACTCAGCACAGAATATGAATAATAGTCCTAAACCATTAAATAATTGGAATCAGGGCCATGTGTGGTAGTGGATGCCTGTAATCCTAGCACTCAGGAGATTAAGGTAGGCAAGAGGATCAGTGCAAGTTCAAGGCCAACTGAGCTACATAACTGAAGGCCAGCCTGAACTAAAAAGCAAGACCCTGTGTTGATAACTAAATCAACAGTAAAGAATCTTCAGCCTTTGGACGATTCCATTGTTGCTGCACACAGATATTGTAACTTGTACTAAATACAGAAATGCCAAACTCTGAAACACCAAGCTCTTAAAGTAATACGAGCTCTTTATAGTTGTTAGATAGGTGCCAGTTGGGCACCTGTGCATGTTTTGCTGTAGAAATGTATTTGAATATGAATACAGTTCCTGTTTGTGTTGAGTGTTATACAGTGTAGGCGTTATGTACCACAGTACCATTCCAATATCTAAGAAAACTGTAGTTTAAATACTTCTGGCTGCAAAGATTTTAGATGTTGTGTGGACTAAGATGAGAAATATTTTTCATGACTTTGGGGATCAAAAAGACTATTTTTAACCATAAAAGACTGATAAATTTCAACTACCTAAAAATTAATGATATTTATCAAAACCCCATAAAGTATGTGGAAAAGATAAATCACGGTGTGGAAGAAATTTCAAAAATATGTAACAAAGAATTAGTACCTATAATATATTAAAAACAAACCAATAAGAAGTAAAAAAATCATATTCAAAAAGGTGCAAAAAGACTAAATAGCACACCAAAGAGAAATTGCACATGACCAATATATATGGAAATACCAGTGTCCTCATTAGTAACCACTGAAAGGAAAGTGAAAGTCACAAGGCAATACTGTTAAAGACACCCACCAGATCCAAGAATTGTTCTTAAGAGTGACAGTAGTGAGCTTTAACAGAGAGGAGGCAATGAGACTTGTATACTGCTGGTATCAAAGTCTGGTACAATCACTTTGGGAAACATCTAGTGGCATTATCTGGTAAAATTGGAATATTTACAGTTCAAACTCTAAAGAAATTTCTTGCATGTGTGCATATTTATAGCATCTAAAAGTAACATACGACTCAAACCTACATCAATCCAATAGTTGCAAGTTTAGGGCACTTATCCTTTAAAATATGATACAGCAATGAAAAGGAGCAAACTATCATCATTCACAATTATATGATGGCACAATATGGGGTAAAAGAAGGAAGCCAACCAAAGATAGGTACAATATGTTCCTTCTGTAAAGTTCAAAAACTGGCAAAATTTAGCTGGTGTTTAGGAGACATACATAGGTAATAAAACTGTGAGGAAAAGCAAAGGAATGATTACCACAGATGTAGACAGGAGGGAGGGGTGCATGAGGGGCTCCTGGGTTTGGAGAATTCTATTTGGGGACCTGTATGTTTGCTTTATAATTATCCTTGAAATGAGCCATATATTTTATTGACTTTTCTTTTTGTATATCTCTGTCTTTAAATAAACAGAACGAACAGTTGGCCTGAGAAAAGTCACCTTTAGTAGAATTGATTTACGGAAAAGTAAAAATAATGATCATAGAGAACATTTAAAGCGTGATTACAAAGTCAGCAATGAATAGAGCACCTTGCATGCTCTTCAAGGTCAAAAGGCGGAGGTCAGTAGTCTCTAGGTGCTATACAGCTGTGCAGTTCCTACTGTTCTGTGGTAGGCCACAGCCACAGACAATAAAAACACTGCCAAAGAGCTTCCAGGAACTGCAATCATATTTTCCACTTTACCCACAAGGAGAGCTTTGGTTTGTTAATTGGGAAACATTGGTTTAAGCAACAGAGTAAAAACAATTAAAAGATAGGAACTTTGATGTGTTGATTTAAAAACATGACAACAGTAAAGATAACACAAGTTATATTTACCTTATAAAATGTTGAAGACTATGGGCCAATGAAAGAATATGGGTTTCATAAGG